ACCGAGTTAGGGTCGGGATGGTGTTTCAGCCACTCCAAGCCCTCATCGTCCGTTCTGTACCATGATTCAATTTTCTTAGAGGTTGGAGGGATGGAGGAAGGGGTCTTCCAGGAGCCCTGGATCACTTCAAGGAGGTAGGGAAGGAAGGGTAGAAGAGGAGCGGGTGGGGACTCCGCTTGCACCCTTTTAAACACCGGGTCTAGCACTGCCTTGGAAGTTTGCTTGACCTCCAGGCCTAGAGCATCAGCCATGCGAGCCATTTGATCCGCAAAGGCTCGGACATTGTCAGTGGGAGATGGAGGATCCGCCTCATAGGCATCGTGGGTAGGCGATCTCTCGATCCCGAGAGACAGCACCGATCCCGAGTGTACCGATCCCGGTAACTCGCCATCCTCTTCTTCATCGTCAGCAGCCAGAGATTGGGGAGGAGGGGATGAGGAGACATCCCGACTCGCAAGCTGCAGAGGAGCCACTGGGGGAGCTTTTGAGGCCGAGGCCTGAATGGCACGGGCCAATCTCATAGTCTGTCTGCCCCTTTCCGGAGTCTCCAGCACTGGAGAAGTCTCCTGTCTGGCTGTCACAGTAGTCAAAGTCGTGACCGACGGGAAAAGCTCCTGTCTGGCTGTCACCTGCCGAGTTGGTGCCTCGATCACCGTGTCCACCGAGATCACCGGGGACACGGGCTGCTCCGAAGGCTGCTCCGGCAAAGGTTGCGGCTCCTGAACAGGCTGCGGGGCCAGCTGGGGCTCAGCAGGCTGCAACGGCGATGACCTCGCCGACGAGGTGGCCGAGGAGGCGGTGGTTTGCTTTCGGGAAGAAGAAGAAGACGAGGATGGAGGCGGCATCGTCTTCTTCTTCTTAGCCGGCGGTTGAGCAGACTTTGACACCGACTTGCCCGGGGTGGGCGGGACGGAGGATGATGTGGAAGCACGCCGAGACTCTTCTTGAGACCGGCGAAAGGCAATGCGAACCGCCGTGGAAGATGGCGGAGTCGCCGACGTCGACCTCGTGGACCTGATCGATCTCACCGACGCCACGGAGCTGGTCGACGAGTGTCGGATGCGTACGGTCTCGGTAGTGACCGTGCATGGAGCCTTCTGTTTCGTAGGCTTCGTAGCCTTAGCGGCCGCCGACGCTGACGCCTTCGAAGTCGTCGACATAGCTGCTCTCGGCCTTTTCTGTGCGGCCTTCTTCGCCCTTGTTTGGCGAGGCCCGGCCTCCGCCGAGGGATCGACAGATGCTGTTGTCGATGCCTTCGAGGTCGAAGCTGATGTCGAAGGCCTGGATACCGCGGCTGATGTCGACGCCGATGTCGATGTTGAAGGTACCGGAGCCAACGTCTGCTGGTACAGAAGGTATCGAAGACGATGGACCCGGTTCTTACGAGACTGTGCCGACAAAGATTGACAATGACGACACGAAGAGGTAATATGTGCCTCACCGAGACACAAGAGGCAAAGAGCGTGCTTGTCCGAATCAGGAATCTTCCTCGGACAGTTCGCGCATCTTTTGAAGCGAGTTGTTGACATAATCCAGTCAACAACTCGAGGAAAAAACTCTAAGAAGAATCACTAGAATCACTATCCAATCACTATCCAACTAGAAGTACCGAAGCGAGCCGTGCGGCGGAAAAAAAGGAATTGGATCGGTGTGCGCGGGGCGCCCTTTTATCCCCTGCCGGGGCTGGGCGGGGTTACCGCCAAAACTTCAAAAGTTTTAAAATGAAGAAGTTTCCGTTGGAGCCCGCGCAGGCGCAGTCTCTCCACAAGTGTGCATTCGCAGAGACCACGAAGAAAAATTAAATGATTGGTAACTGGCAAATAGAGGGAGAAAACATGGAGACAGTGACAGACTTTGTATTTTTGGTAGCAAAGATTACTGCAAATGCAGACTGCAACCAGGAAATCAGGAGACATTTACTTCTTGGGAGGAGATCAATGACTAATCTTGACAAAATAGGTAAGAGCAGAGACTGGCAATGAAGATCTGCATAGTTAAAGCAATGGTATTCCGCGCAGTAACCTATAGATGTGAGAGCTGGACCATAAGGAAGGCTGAGTGAAGGAAGATAGAGCTTTTGAATTGTGGTGCTGGGGGAAAATTCTGAGTGCCTTGGATCGCAAAAAGATCCAACAAGTCCATGAAATAATACCAGACTGCTCACTGGAGGGAAGGATATTAGAAGGCAAGATGAAGTACTTTGGCCACATAATGAGAAGACAGGAAAACTTGGAGAAGATAATGATGCTGGGGGAAAAAGGAAGGAAAGGGGAAGAGTTGCTGACCAAGGGCAAGATGGATGGTTGTTATCTTTAAAGTGACTGGCTTGACCTTGAAGGAGCTGAGGGTGGCAATGGCTGACAGGGAGCTCTGCTGTGGGCTGTCCATGAGGTCACAAAGAGTGTGAAAAGACTGATCAAATAAACAACAAAAAATGATATCTTGAGAAAAAAGTGAACACATATATTTATACAATTAACTAAAATGATAAAATGATCCACAAATTAATTCAGTAATGAAACAAACACAATGGAATTTTCAGTGATGTCATACAAAACTGACATGGTTCAGAAATAAGTGTCATTCACCCCTTTCCTACTATTGTTGCCAGTGGAGGCTTTGCTATGAGACACTGCCAAATATGTTTATCCAAATTTGTTGTATCTACCCCTTGCTCAGTGTATCTGGATCACATTGAATGTAATTAGCACAGTCAGTTCTTAGTGCCCCTGAGATAATTTCTGTTGGGCAATGTGAGAGATATTTGAAAATTTCTCAAGCAGAGGAATCAAATGGGCAAGCCACAAGCTGAAAAATAATCAGACCTACGTGTATCAGGCTGGAGGTTTAGCACAGCTGGTAAAATCACCAGCAACTATAAGATCTATGAACCGAAAGGTTGCAAGTTCTAAGCCCCAGGTTGGCAGGAGTGGCTGACTGTCAGCCCTGCTCACTGTTTACCTAAGCATTTCAAAAACAGCTTCAGTTGTAATGAGATAAATTAGATTCCGTTAAAAGTGGGGGAAGTGTTTTACAATGCCATAAAGATAAAGATCAGAAAGTGCTGGGCGACCAAAAGGAAGGAGGAAGTCCTGACGGCTTTTCATCATAGAGGATGGAGCAACAGCACCCCTGGTGGCTGGACTCGAGCCCAACCTTCCATACAACCGAAACAACACACCTCCTTTCTGTTCTGACTATCTATACAAAGCGACATTGAATGTTTGTCTTGTATGTGTACTGTGATCTGCCCTGAGTCCTCTTCAGTATGAGAAGGGCAGAATATAAATAAAGTGTTATTGTTATTTATTATTATTATCTACCACAGGGACTAGTAGAGAAAAATAATGTATAAACATATAAAAGTAGCTTTACTTACCATTTACTTGTTTGTAATGAAATATTTGTCTAATGGAGAGAGGCAAGAGAAGGAAAATGATTGTAAGAAAAAAAGTGTGGGTTGTAAAGAAAAAGCCACAGGACACTTGAAAACTAGCAAATATAGGTATGTGAAATTTTCTAACGGTTTCACCTTATGAACTCATAATGCTTTTGAGTTTTCTGGTGCACTTATTTGTTTTTATAGCATTTTGGTTCTATTTTATTTCATAACATCTCTATACAGCTTAAAATAAGATATCTAATATTAATAAGTGAGACTTGGACTTCTATAAAAGCCTGCCGTTGTCTCTTTTAAAAACTAGTGCTACATCACTGACATCTATAATGCTCTGCTCTCAAGATTCTCAAAGATGTTATCATCTCTCCTAGCTAGAGCTTGTCTGTGGTGGTTCAAATCCACAGGCTGATGGGTTGGCAGTTATCAGATTAGATCTTTAATTAAGCTTTCCTCCGTACTAGAATAAACAATGTCAAGTCTGCAAACCACTTGAAGAAAAATAAATGCAATTTATGGCAACATCTTTCATGCTATGGGGATTTCAAGGCATAAAATGGCTAGTCTATTGCATAGCTGAGAAGAGACAAATGGCGGCATTCAGACAATTATGTCTTGGTTTAGGTTTAGGAGGTCAAGAAATGAATGAGCCATTTATCTAAACCAGGTTTTCTCCTGCTAGGCTTCAAAGATAAGACAGAATCTAGCAGGACATCTAAGAAAAGAATTAATGGAATGCTTGCGTCATTAATGGAATGCTTGCCTTAATCCTCTTAATTGTGAAATTTCAGGAAATTTTATTTATGTGACTGGTTTACCATGGACAAAAACAAAGCTTGTTGTTACTCACTTCAGCAGTCCAATATTTACGAAACTTTCTAATAATGCTACAGATTGCCAGGTAAGTTCCTGACATTCCATTGGCTTACTTTACAATAAATTAATTTTATGTCCTTTTAGTCATCTGAATGGGTGGGCAACATCAGTCACCTGTAAGTGTTGTTGGATTGCAAATCCCATTAATCCTTGACAGCGTGATCAAGGAACATGAGAGTTTAACAACATCTGGAGGGCCACAGTTTTCCAACTCATCTTGTACTACAGTCCAATAATACCCTGAAGAACTTGGAGATATTGATAACAGTGACAACCAACAGAAATGGAAGGAAATTCACAGAAGGAGCACTGTGCCCTTTAGGAACAATCTATGTTGATCTACATGTTAGACTTTCTAAAGGAGACCAAAAAACCTGGAGTGAAGAGACCATGTTATCCACATGACAATTGTAGAGTTTTATATATAGTCCAGGATCATTGATGAGTTATAATGTTTAATAATGTTGCGTTGTCCATTGTTCTTGTGTGCCTTCAACTCATTTGGGCATCTGGCAGTCTTATCTTCAGGTTTTCTTGGGGAGATTTCTTCAGAATCTTTGCCTTCTTATGACTTACTTATGGTCACCCAGTGCATTTCTATGACTGAATAAAGCTTCAGACCCTAATTTCCAGAGTAAGTGTCCAATAATCAAACCATAGCATTTTGGCAACATTTTAATATTCACTGTATATTATATCAGTTCATCCTTCATGTGTGTTCATTATTGATGTTTCTAGTATTATTAATATTTCTAAAATATGGTAATATTCATTGTTTTATGTTACTCTCCCCATATAAATAAGATTATCTGTCTTTGTAGACTATAATCATTCAGAAAACTCCCTGCACTTAAGCCTGTAAATAACAGTAGGCGTAAGTGTGCCTTGTGTCTAATGGAACTTAAATTGCTTTTCCTTTTTAAAAATCTAAATATTATTTTAATTTTGCCTGGTAAAAGTAGATAGAATCTAAAATAGAATTATGCTGAAATCTCTGAGAATTTATTTCTTTACCATCCAGTAAAAACTATTTGAATCCATCCTATAATGAATTTAAATTGGGGCCAATGATTATACTGGATGCCCCCAAATTGCCTCAAACATTGTACTCAGCTTCCTTGAAGCTGAACCCAGATCAAAATAAGGCTCACAACTTACCCTCTCACTTTGATTGATCCATACTGTATTGCTGCTTTCTTTGCAAAATGGGATTTTTATTCCTGCCTGTTATCTCAGCCACAAGGAAGGAGAACACTACCTTGTTGGAAAGGGAAACTGGTGACAGATAGTGTTCACTTCCCTGGAGAGCCTCTGAGGAAGTTAATTTAATCTTGCCTAAGTAAAACATTTAATCTTGTCCAAGTAACAGCTATTCCTATCTTAATATTTGTCAAATCTATCAGGAGCCTTAGAAGTTATAGATAGGAAATATTGAATGAAATATAAAAGTTATTAGACTGACCAACCTTAATTCCATCTGCCCAAGACTTCATTTTTATATCTTGAATTTCTGAATTAAGATTATTTTAACTCAGTAATATCTTCAAGCTAAAGGAAAAGAAGTAGAAAATCTCAAAGTCATGATAACCAACTGCAGTTTTGTTTTCTTGAATTTGGTCCCATGTTTTCTAGTACTATCAAGATGAATTGCCTTTCAAAGCAAGAAGGAGGGTGTTTGTCGGATAGTAACCAAAGCATTATATTAAAACCAAATTGTACCTCCTAAGATGTCTTGTGTGACAACTGTTCTGTAATATGTAAGTCTTACAACCTCATCATACGAACCAAATTGCTTGTCATATGCCAGTTCCTCCTCCTTTTTGCAATTGAGTCCACCAGCTCCCATCCCACAATGCAAATCTACAATACTTCAGTCAGGGCTCCATTGCAAAAAGGAAGAGAAACCAGTGTATGCTGCCACAAGAGACTTCCCGTGTTACATAGAGATCAATAGAGGAAAGCAGGTGGTGGATGCTTCCCACGTGGGATGAAGTAAGCGGGGTGATGAAAGACAACGGATTCTCCGCAGCCCCCCCCCCCAGGCCTCCACTGATTCTCCACAATGTGTGGCAAATCCCATTGCCAATGTGATAAGGCCCTCTGCTGAAGATTGGTAGAATGAACCTAATTTCATTTTCAAACTCTTTGTAACAGATAAGATTTTGGTATCAGTTGTCTCAGGATTCCCAGCTGAACATCTTCATTAGAACTTCTGATGGATATTTGCAAAGCTTAAATAGTCAACCTTTCAAGAGCAAAATGCAATGGACAAAAGCCGATGTCTGTATAAGAAATACTACTAGAGAGGGACCTTTTCAGGTAGGTACATTAGAAGACTGGTGTATATGCATGTATTTATTTCACACTGCCATTTTCTTTGAAAAATAAGTTGCATTAACAATGTCAACAAGGCATAAAAAGAAAGGAAGAAATAGAGTTTTGTGACACCTTTAAGGCAAATCAATATATTTCAGCAAAAGCTTCCATCTCCCATAGTCACTTCCTCAGATGCACTTCCTCATGGCATATAACTCAAGTGAGCCAATCCTACAGCACAAGTCTTAAGTCTGTTCATTTCAACCTCAAGCAACTTTTCATTGATGAACACGATCCGAAACATGTCAATTTAGAGGTAAGCCCCTATGATTTAAGTGTAATTTATTAAAGGTTCTGTTTTGAATCACAACTGTTCTTCAAAACATTATGAATGTTTTGAATTTCCGTTCTAAAGATTTCTCAAAAGATTATATCATATAATAATCAGTGTAGCGATTATTCCTGTGAGGTGCATCTAAGAAAAACAACAATAAAAAGATTTGAAACTTGCAAAATCAATATCTCTTTTGTTCGTTTTGCTATACAGCAGTTATGTTCCTTTAAAACAAAAAGAAAAAAGAAAAGGCCAGCAACAAGTGATATTTATCCAACAGGATATAAATTATTTAAAAGATGTCTGTATACTTGTATAATGTAACATTTAATAGGGTTATTTCATTGCCTTCACAGATAATACTACAAGCAATTGTTCAAACTGAAAAAGCTTTTGTTGCTGTGGATGACATCAGTATAACAAAGACATGTAAGATTAATGTATCATTTTCAAGTATCTACAAAGAAGGTAAGAGCAAAAACAGTATGCTGTGTTCCTTATGCTGAAATAATTTTCTTGGATTTGATTAACAAAGAGATATTGATTTAAAAATATCCTACTCAGGGTATATAAAAAGATCCAAGGTATACTAAAATGTTCATATACATATTTTAATAAATAATATATTTACTACTAATAATAATAATAATCTTTATTTATATCTCACCACCATCTCCCCAAAGGGACTTGGGGCAGCACTACAATTGTAGTATATAACATAAATAGTACATGAGTATAAAAACAATATCACATAAAAGTTATAAAACGACAACTATTAACAATCAAATCAAATAAAAAAGTTTAAAACACAGAGCATCTGTAGTTAAAACTAGCTGCCTTCAAATTACAACTAAAGTGCCAAAGTGTCACCCTCATATGGGCATATTTGAGCCTACTCGAGATCAAACGTCTGCTTAAAAATACATGTTTTTAGGCTGGATCAGAAGGAGTCAAGGGTGGGGGCTAACCTAATATCTTTTGGGAGGATATTCCAGAGCTGGGGAACCACTACAGAGAAGGCCCTCTCTCTCATCCCCATCAACCATGCTTGAGATGGTGGTGGAACCATGCTTGAGATGGTGGTGGAACCAAGAGAAGTGTCTCCCCTGCTGATCTCAAAGCCTGTGCCGGTTCATAGAAAGAGATGTGCTCTCAAAAATAGGTTGGACCTGAAATGTATAAGGCTTTGCAGGTAATAAACTGCATCTTAAATTGAGCCCGGAAGATTTTCGGAAGTCAATGGGGCTGCTTGAGTAGGGGCATAGTATGTTCCTTATAGCTAGCTCCAGTTCGTAATCTGTGGCAGCCAACCTTTGTACTAACTGCAGTTTCTGAACCGTCTTCAAAGGCAGCCCCATGTAGAGTGCATTACAGTAGTCCATTCTGGATGTAATTAAGGCATGGAGCACTGTGGCCAAGTCAGCCTTTTCAAGGTACAGTCGCATCTGGAACACATGTTCCCTCCTGGCCACTGCCTATACCTGAGCTTCAAGTGTCAACAATGAGTCCAAAAGGACACCCAGATTGTGGACCTGCATCCTCAGGGAGAATGTAACGCCATCGAGCACAGGTTGCCACCCTATACCTCGATTGGCTTTGTGACTGACCAGGAGGACCTCTGTCTTGTCTGGATTAAGTCTACGTTTGTGGCCCTCATCCAGTCCATCACAGCTGCCAGATACTGATCCAGGATCCAGGGAGCTTTCTTGGATTGGGGTGGAAAAGAGTAGTAGAGTTGCCTGTCATCTGCATTGTGATGGCACCCAACTCCAAAACTCCAGATGACCTCATCCAGCAGTTTCATGTAGATATTGAAAAGCATGGGGGAAAGAATGGAACCAGTTGCCCCCCAGCATCACCATCTGAGTACGCTCCTCCAGGAAGAAGTGGCGCCACTGCAGCATAGTGCCCCCAAGACCCATTCTAGAGAGCCGATCCAGAAGGATACCTTGGTCAATGGTATCAAAAGCTGCTGAGATTTCCAAGAGAACCATCAGGGACTTATACCCCCTGTCTAGTTCTCTATGGAGGTCATCCACCAAGGCGACCATAGCTGTCTCCGTTCCATGACCAGGCCTAAAGCCAGACTGCGATCAATCAAGATAATCAGTTTCATCTAAGAATCCCTGGAGTTGAGAGGCCACCACTAGCTCCAGAACCTTGCCCATAAAAGGGAGGCTAGAAATAGGCAGATAATACGATATATTACTGGTAGTAGTAGTAGTAGTAGTAGTAGTAGTAGTAGTACTTCCACACATTGTCCGGCAGTGACTCTCAAAGGACTCAAGGCAAAAGTATTTCTCATCTCAAATTGCAATCCTCAGTACTGGCGGACCCATCCAGACCCATAGTCTGTTTTAAACTATGAATTTTAAATTGACACTTTAATGGTATGAATGGTTATATTGTAAGTTTTAATCTTCTTTAATTTTTGTCATTGATGGGTGGAAATGATTTTATGTTTTCAGTTATCTATTAAATTATAACTTGAGGCATAAACTTAGGGAGAGGTGGGTAAGAAATAAAATACATTGTTTTGATGGTTGTTGCCACACTTGGAACCATTGTGTAGCAAAGAAAGTGCCCTTCCACAGCCAAGAATACCCCATATAGCCTTTTTTGATTTCTCAAAACATGAAAGTTGATGTTCATATATGATACGCTTTTCTATTTGCTGAATCTTGAAAAACAATATATTTCAACCTTATTTTTTTTGAAGGTGAAACAAAGTTGGAAACTCCTCATTCCTTGTCTCTTGATTGTCCGCTGGGACTCTTGCCATGCAAGGATGGGGAATGTGTTTCATCTGACAAGTTCTGTGATTTCACGCTTGATTGTTCAGATGGCAGTGATGAAACCATGTGCTGTGAGTAAAAAAACATATTGATTTGTAATGCATGCTTAAGGGTCTTTAAACCTACATGTCAATAGTCTCATGACTCAGGCTCTGTTATTTCATTACAGCATCTGTTAATTAAGACAAACCTCTCAGAAGGTGAAAGACTTTGCCTCAGAGTCTCTATTAATGATTTTGTAGTACTGTTTCAAGAAAATGATTTGCCAGAGTAGGAGGACTATAATTAGAAAGAAATTGATATCTAGAGCCTAATTTTTAAAAATGAGGTATTCAACTTTATTTTCTCGAATATGCTCGTGGAACATAAATAGTTGCAATTCATGTTGCAGTTCTGGAGAGCAGTCTTACATTTGAAGGCAGTGTGAACTGTTGGGCTGATTTGGCTGCTGTTCATTTCAGTCATGCCTTCCTGCTTTCCCCATTTTCTACAGTGCAGGTAAAATGAGATGGTACTTTCTTGTGTCGTCATTTTGTACCTGTACTGACTGCCAGGGAGTTTCAAAAAATTCCTGGCCATCACTAGGTGCCATTCCCATTGTTATCAAAGGCATTCATGCAACTCAGAGAAGGGAAGGGGGTTCCCTCTTTTCTTCCTCCCCTTCCTTCTCTGAGTCCCATGGTGCCTTCAATGACATCGGCAAATGGTACCCAGTGATGACCAGGAGCTCTTTGGTAGGAGGACAGAGGCCAATACAGAGTCTTGCCATTCTTGACTGGCCCTAGGTTAAGTGGCCAGATATACCATTAGATTTACAGAATCACCTAATGGATCTAAGCAAATTCTATAAGCATCAAAGGCTGTTAGGGTAGATAATGTGATGTCAAGTAAATGAAAATTTCTATTTTGCAGCTGCTAAATGTGACTTTGAAAGTGACAGCTGTGGCTGGCTGGAAATGTCAAGTGGAGATGGGTTTGACTGGGTAAGAAGCTCCAAGACAAGTCTACCTCCTGCTTTCCACAAACAAGCTCCACCAAACGATCACACTTACAACAAATCTGAAGGTAAGATGGCATCAGTGAAAGGAATAGGCCTTTCTCCCACATCAATGGGTCTCCTTGGTGTTCTTATCTTATTGCAGTGCTCTAGTAGTGGGCAGAATAATTGGATTTTCAAATGAACAATTGGTTTCCAAGTATTTGGGACATAGGAGTCTTTGGTGGGCACTGCTGAGGGTCTAGGCCAGGGATAACTGTGGGAAAGGAGAGGCCGTTTGTCACCCCTGCAGTCCCTTGGAGGCTGCATTAGAGTATCTGGCACAGTTTTGCAGTGGTTTTGATGTTGACTGGGGGGTGGCAGGCGGGGCAGAAATTGACCTCTTACATCCACAAGCACTTCTCTTTTTCTTTTTTCCTTCTTAACAGGCCATTTTATGTTCATTCTAAAAAACAGCAGCAGTATCTCTCAGATTGCACAGCTGCGAAGTCCAAAATTCAGTCAGTCTGGATCAGATTGCTCAGTGACCTTCTGGTATGAATGAAGTTTGATTTTTGTGGAACACATGAGTGCTTCTGAAGTGAAAGCAGAAGTGGTGTTTGTCATTGTTTTTTCTGATTGTACAGTATATTTCTCTTTACTTTACTCTTTAGCTTTCTCTTTAGAAGTTCACTTGGAATAGATGTGTTGTTTTTTTTAAAAAAAAACATAGCAAGCACTTTGGATATATATAAAACTGTGATATCTGGTTCTTTTGTGACATACAATATTGTTCCCAATGTTACATAATGCCACACGGATGTAATATCACATTAGATCTTGTAACACTTCTCTAGCATAATCATTTATTTATTTTACATTAATTAATTGATTGTTTGATCCTATCCTACACATTTCACATGCTGGTGTAGTAAACCTTAGACTCAATGGAGTGAATGCATTCCATTGATACTTTCCATTAGAATGCACTTGGACAGTAAAGTTATCATTTCGTAGGTTAGAATTTCAGTATGGGCTTTCTTTTGGAAAGACTCCACAGTCCAACTATGTAGTTATTATTAATTAAAAGTTTAAGGTTTATTTATTGCATGTATATTCTGATTTATCTTAACAAAGCCTCTGTGAGGCAGTTCAGGCTAAGAGAATAATTGGCTCAAGGTCAACTAGTGAGATTCATGGTTCAGTGGAAACTTGAACCTGTATCCACCTACTTATAGCTAGAAAATACAGTTGCAGTCTTGATGAAGAAGTAATTTGACTCACGTATGGCACCATATGGCTTGCATAAGGGTCACATAAGCTTTTTTGGTGATGATATTAATGCCTAATGTTGATATTCCCTTTCCAGGTATTACAACTATGGGCTGTCAGTTGGAGCAGCAGAAATGCAATTGCTTGTTGATGGACTAAAAGACCCTACGGTACTTTGGAGGATATATTACAATCAAGGCGATCAGTGGCTAAAGGCTTCCATTCAGCTTGGCCGCCTTCCACAGCCCTTTCAATTATCTCTAAATAAAGTCAGCCTTGGATTTTATGATGGTGTCTCAGCAATTGATGATATAACATTTGAAAGCTGTGCATTGCCGCCTCCAGCGTTAAACTGTGAAGGCCCCGATCATTTCTGGTGCCAAGATTCAAAGGCTTGCATCAGTCGTTTGTTATTGTGTGATCTTGTTGATGACTGTGGAGACGGATCTGATGAGAAGCAATGTGGTAAGAGCCTGAAATGTTTCCCTTTAAACTGTAATCGTATGTTTCAAATATTGTGTCTAACTTTGACCCTTAGCCCATGATATTCACTCTGGCAGATTTAGCCTAAAGAGGGAACTATAAACAAGCAAAGCTCTATGAATTTATTCTCATATGGAATTTTGTTAAAGATACATTTCTTCCCTATATTTTGTGATAATTCTTGGCCTCTGCATTCCTGCAAATATTTAAGTAGTGCACTGTGCAAAAATATCTCAGCACGGTGAAAAATGAACATTACTGCATCAGTATAATTTGGTGTGGTATGTCTGATGATCCTAAGGTGAATATATTAAAGGGTTTTCTTGGAATTTGTTTAAAGGGGTCTTGCTTTGGCCTTCCTCTGAGACTTGAAGAAAGAGAGACTTGCTTTAGGTCACCCAATATCTTTCCATTGCTGAGTGACAATTTGACCTCTGGTCTTGAAGAGACCTAGACCAGCACTCAACCAACTATCCTACACTTGCTGATAACAATATGATAAGTATTTAGAAACAGAAGTAACTATAAAGTCCATAAGTAAAATAAAAGAATAGAATCAGATGATATCTATATCAGGACTACCAAAAATATCACAAATTTGTGCAAAACTTGAAGCTCTCCTGTACTTTTCCTCAAGCTAAATAGTGTAAAAAAAGGAGTGCAGGATGGGAGGGAAGTATGCTCCATCAGTCATGTCCTTGCTAAACCAAATGCTTCACAATTCCTATATAATGTATTTCTTTTCATAAATGTTCTAAATTAGAGATGGAAATGTCTTTGATTTGATTTAATCAGTTAAGGCTGATTAAATATGGCCTCACCAAATGTATTGCCCCAGATGCATTGTGGTGGGATATGCAAAATGTTCAAATGTTGAAGGCCCCATATTGGCAATGTTAAAAAGGTAACAATCCCTCCTTAATGCTTTGTTATTGAGAGCAGGAGCTTTCTGGCAGCCAGTGATGAGTGTTCATCACCATCTCTTCTTGAACCAGCTCTGAATATATTTTCAGTTTGAATTCAAGGTGCTAATTATGACATTTAAAGTCATAAATAGTTTGGGACCTCAATGTTGAAGGAATGCCACTCTGTATAAAGACGTGTCCGATGCATAAGATTTGTTGAAGGGGCCTCCCGTGTGTCCCAGCCAGGGCAATATGTTGTCAGAGGACATCGGAGAGAGTCTTCTCTTCTGTGACACTTTAGTTGTGGAACAGAAGCTAATTGGTTCCAATGTGGCTGCCATTCCAGCATCAAGTGAAAACTTGGATGCTCACTAAGCCTTTTGAGACCTAATTTGATTGACCCAAATCTTCACATGTATAAGGATTTAAATTCTTTCACCTAATTTAACTATTAATCTGTTTTTTTAAAAAAACTCAAATAGTTTAAGATTTTTTGGCTTTTAAGATATGTTTTATTATTGATACTATTTTAAATTTGTCTGAACAGTTTGATTATATGTCATCATGAGATCTCTGGATAGAAGAATATAAATAAATAAATAAATAAATAAATAAATAAATAAATAAGGAAATCGCACTGCAACAGACAGCATTCAGTGGTGAGAAAGAAAAATACCAGTTGCCCTAAAAAGTCCCCCCCCCCTTTCTGGCATTTTTTTTAAAATGAAGAATTTATTGGTTTCAGAGCCTGAATTGCAGTGCAATTTTGAGCTTGGACTCTGCAATTGGGAGCAAGATATGGATGATGACTTCAACTGGACCAGAACCCAAGGACCAACGTCTACGCCTAACACAGGACCAATGAAGGACCACACTCTGGGCACTGTCAAAGGATACTATCTTTACATAGAGTCTTCAGAACCACAGATGTTCCAAAACAGAGCAGCTTTGTTGAGCCCCGTCTTCCATTCTACCTTTGCATATGGCAACAAAAGCTGCCTTTTTCGCTTCCATTATCATATGTTTGGAAAGCACATTTACAGACTGGCAGTTTCCCAGAGAAGTGTGAGCAATACAAGGGGACAGCTGCTATGGCACACATTTGGCAATCAAAGCAACAGATGGAAAAGGAAAGTGCTCTATATCACGAGTTCAGAGCCATTTCAGGTACGGTTCTTTCAATCTTTGATTTGCTTTCTTTAGAGTGAAAGGAAACATAACGTGAATATGAGAGTTTTGCCTTTCCTTTCCTTTCTTTTTTTAAGCCCATGGAAATTTGTTTGATCACAATCCCTTTGAACTAGTTCTCTTTCATTGTTAAATGTTATTCACAGGCACCCTTTGTTGATGTTCTGAACCAAAATATAATGTAATAATTTAAGATAGGGAATGCGCATGTCAAATGGTACTTGCAGTTGGTTACATTCTCTCAGGGCCCTTCCACACAACCATATAACCCAGAATATCAAGGCAGATAATCCACAATATCTGCTTTGAACTGGGTTATCTGAGACCACACTGCCATATAATCTAATTCAATGTGGATTTTATACAGCTATGTGGAAGAGGCCTCAGTGACATCTTTCAGACATAATCCTTAGACATAGGTTAGCATCCTGAACCTCAGCAACCATAAGGCTCAGATTTCACCCCCACCCCAATTGAGGAAAGGAGATTGCTAGCATCAGATCCTGGTTCATGGGGAACTTGCTTGTACTATAGGACTGCAGGATTAGTCGAAAGCAAATGGCATTTTGTTCCAGACCAGAATGGAAAACCTGAAAGTACAGGCATGGGTATAAAAGGAGGGAATAAGAAAGTGTTATGCACTACCATATACCTAAACATTGGGAAAAGCTTCCTGATGATAGAAGCTGATTGACAGTGGAATATAGTAGCTCAGAGTGATTGGACTGGATGACTCTTGTACTTCAACTCCATGTTTTTGTGTCATTTCTGTGGGCCAATTCAAAGCTGAAAGCTGTGAATGTTTACCATATAGGGACAAGCCTCACTGCAGTAGAGAAGTATGTACACTATCCACAGACTTCCATATAAGTTGGATGTGTATTGTGTTATGTTGGATGTGTACTGATGGGATACATTTCCCCATCAGTTCTTCCTATACCTCTATTATTGTCAGTGAAATGTTGAGTGGGAATTGAGTGACATGCCAGATGTTATTGGATTGAAATTCCCATTAGCCATCACTGCTATAGCCAATGGAGGTGATTTTTTTAAACTGAATATCTGGAGATCCATACAATCCACACCCTGATCTAAATAGGAAAAAAATGGTGTGGGTTATGTCACTGGTGTTGCTTACTTTCTTAGAAATCTTGCTTATTCACTGCACTGCCTTGATAATTTAGTAATCTAGGTCACTTTCATGACCTTTCAGGGAAAAATCTTTTATTGCTATTGGTTGTATCCAAATATTGTGAATGTGAAGAAGGCCAAACCAATCACTTGATCAGAAAGTCAGGAGTTAAAACTAAAATGGGGACTGGGCTGATCCCATTTTGGGGGATCTTATTATAGAATAGATAACTAGGAACCTCTTCACATGGCACTTTTGGGCCATGCCATTGCGCTAGCAATTGCTGGCAAAAGGAAATGTGTGTGGCGGCGTGTGGCACCCCACACACCCTCCCTCCTCCCCTCATCATACAGAAAGGATGGGAGGAATTGCATTGCCACTCCCCCCCGCCATCAGATGGCAGAAAGGGTGTCAACGCTTGTTGCCCTGCCACTCTTTTTGCCATCACATGTGAAAATGGGGAGGAAAGTGTGGGTAGCTCTGTCTGAGCTACCTAAAATACACTTTCCTCCCTGTAGTTGTGGAGAAAGCACCTTTTGGTGCTTCCCACTGACTTTGGAAGGAAAGTGGACAGAGCCTGCCATATGTCACGCAGGCCCCATCCTTGCTGCAAAGTAAAGTGGCAAAACGGGGCAAAAATGCCCTGTATGAAGAGATAGTAGGATTACGAAACCAACACAATTTACTGTTGTCCCTGAGTAATTTCTGACTGCATGATAAAGTTGCTGAGCTTGTTCATCTGAGATTTTGGGATGAAAACATCCATTGTTTTTAGTGCTGTGTTTTCTTTAAAAACTTATGGGTCATTCAAGTGTAACTCCTAGACAGTTGAGGATGTTGTTTGTGTCTACTCTCATAGCTAGAGGCTTGTAAAACCTCAACATAGTTTTCTGGCTGGTTGGCAGTCTTATCTGTAAAGTGCAATATGGGAAGTTTGCGCAAGGGTTGTAATTTTGTCTGACAAGTGCAGGAATGAAGTGCTTGGGCCACAAAAACAGATTGAATCACAGTGCCTACAATTGATTCTACTGGCAACAATCCAGTGTAAATAAGATCAACAGGCTTGTTTCTTTTACAACACAAAGCTGTGTACTGGCATTTTCCCCTGATTCTCTCCAATCTTTTTGTTCCAATTGGAATTCAAACTTTAAAAGATCTTTCCCCATCCTCTTGCTAGTCTACAAGCAAGTATTTCTTTCATGTTGGGAGCAACTTGAGAAACTGCAAGTTGCTTCTGGCGTGAGAGAATTGGCCATCTGCAAGGGCATTGCCCAGGGGATCTCTGGATGTTTTGATGTTTTACCATCCTTGTGGGAGGCTTCTTTGATGCCCCTTCATGGGGAGCTGGAGCTGACAGAAGGAGCTCATCTGCGCTCTCCGCGGATTCGAACCTCAGACCTGTCAGGTCTTCAGTCCTGCTGGCAAAAGGGTTTAACCCATTGCACCATTGGGGTCTCCTTATTCTACAAGCTAATGAATGCATATGATTGTAGTATTCTGTGGGGTCATCAGTGGGAAACCCTTGCCCCTAATACCTATTAATGCAATGGATTTGGCTGATGAGACTGAGAATAGGAACTCTGATATGAGCATGCTTAGTGCTTGGCTGGGCTTTGAACATTGAAGGCATATCCTCCAACTGTCCCAATTTGGCAGACGTCGAAACTGGGTTCAGGAAAGGAAGAGGTTCTAAGATTATATTGCAAACATGGAAGATAATGGAGCATACCAAAGAATTTCAGAAGAAATCTCTGATCTGTGCTTTATAGATATAGCAAAACCTGTGTAGATAATGAAAACCTTTGGATTGATCTTAAAGAAAAGTGTGTGCCACAACATTTGATTGTCCTGATGTGTAAGCTGCACTGGGCACAAGAAGCTACCACCACCAGGGCAGAATCCAAAGAAATTGAATGGTTTCAAATTGGCAAGAAGGGTAAACAAGGCCACATCTTATCACTCTATCTGTTTAACTTTCAAGATGAATATGTCATATATAAAGCAAGATTAGATTTAGAGGAAGAAGGTAAGAAAATTTGATGAAGATTAAGCTATACAGAGACTATACTAATAGCAAAAAATAGCTTGAAATGACTACTGATGAAAGTCAAGGAAGAAAGTGCAAAGGTAAGTTTACTGCTAAACTAAGAATAAAAATAATGACCAAAAAGTATTTACATAACCTTAAAGTAGACGATGACAACATGGAGATAAAGATTTTCAATATCGTGTCTCAGCTATTCTTTTTTTAAAAAAAACAGAAAATACTTTTAAAATGTAAATGTCAAATCAATAGTGAACCTTCTCAAATCTTATTACACTTGGTATTAAAAGGAGGATTAATTATGCCTGTCTCTGCCAAATTAATACTGTTGGAGAGTATGCTTCTTGAGAAGAATGTGAGAAAGTGTTTGTTTTGGGTTCTATATGATGGTGTTTTGTTATTATGTCAAACCTAAAGCACCGTTAAAAGGAAAACATGTTTGGAAGTATTTCAGTGCTCCATTATTATTATTAACACGAGTACTAGTAGCAATAGTATTATTAGTAGTAGTATGTTTTGAAAATTTGTATTTATGTTCTCTTGCATATTTATTTTGAATTTTTCTGTTTAAAAAAACACCAAAGCTAAAATATGCAATAGCAATGCTGTCTTATTTCCCTTTGGGAATGAGGAAAGCAGAAGAAGAGGAAGGAAGAAGTTTCTAATTAGTTCTAATACAGAGACTTTTGATTCAAGTCCTGCTGTGCTAAAATGAAAAATTGGCCTTATTTTTGGCATCAGCAACAACCTGATGAAAAATAACATTGACTCTAAAGCCAATTTCCTTAATCTTGAAACATTGGAATAAAATTAATTGCTTTGTGTTTATCATATTTGCTTACATCTCATCTCATTTTTCATTTTATGGCGTCTGTGTTATTTACAGGAATGATGGCCCTCTCTTTGTTTGAAAACATTTTTCATTTCTCAACTATTTAGCTCACTTTATTGATTTGTTGCCAATCTAGTATATGTTTTTTTTAAATTAACTATAGGATGTGTAATATACTTACTTATAGAATAGCAAATTCAATATATTTTAGGGGGAAAATGATAGTAGTATACACAATGGCTTTTTAGTTTAGTATAGATTGGTTTTCCTATTATGCATTCTATGGATGGATCTATATTGACTCCTTATGCTAAGATCAATCTGACATGCCATATGCTGGATTGGACCAGGGATGGTTAACACTGCTATCACTGCTGCCCAGCCACTGTGGATGTGAGAGGGAGTCATCACTGCACAGCAGTAGTGAAACTGGTTGGCACCACTGGATGGCCACCCTTACCATCCTCTCATGTTCTCCTTATTGCAGTGGCTGGCAGGGCCGTGCTAGTGGCTTGTTTCCTGGATATCAGCCAGAGTGCCAGAGCTATAGGGAGTAATTGCCTCTCCTCTCCCTTCGCCCTTTTCCTTTCTGTCACTTTGCCCAACATTACTCCAGATGATGAACAACCAGCATGACCCAAGTCATGCCTGTGTTTACACGGCCGTCCTGAGTGCAGAGAACATGTATCTGAACTAGCCCTGTTTCCATGGGATTGTACTGGATTCTGGAGAAGAATCTGGTGCAGCCTGCATCTTTGGTTAATGTGGTTTAACCTTTTCCCTGTGTTAACCCTGATCAACTCCATGCAGCATATAGCCACATGGAGCTAAGTCATTAGTGCCCAACCCATGGGTCGCGACCCCAAATGGGGTCTTGAAGGGTTTTCTGTGGGGTTGTTGGGTAGTGGTGAGCTATGAAAAATTTAAAAAGGGAAAACAAAAAAAATCCTTTCATCCAAATGTCACCATGT